CACTTTTGTGAGTCTGCCAGTGGATGCATCAGAAGCCCTTAGTTTAGATTAATTATAAATAAAGAAAACCTAGAGAGATCCAGTATTACGATAAGCTTAATTAGTAAATCGAAAAGCTTAATTATCTCATCAAAATCCCCAAAGTCTACAATTGAATAAGTTTAAAGCAATTTTTTTTATAAAAAAAAATTGTAGCACCGAATTTTGAAAAAATATTTTAAAAATAAAGTCTTCACCAAAAAAATGTGTTTGGTATAAAACTGCAGGAGCATGAAACAAAAACTAATAATTTAAAAGATAGAATCAGAAATATGATTAGCTTTAAGTTTCTAGGTCTCAAATTCTCACTCCTCTAGATCAAGATCATAAAAAATATGTGGTGGGTTTTTGGTTGAGAGATCAAAGAAGGAGAGAGTAGTTGGAGAACGAGAAGGGTTTTTTTATGGAGGTAGGTGTGTGGTAAGAGAGGAATGAGAAGAGGGATTTAATGAAATTAACTGGGTAGATGGGTCAAATTTGTTCAACTCTTGTGTGACATTCATGAAGTATTGGACTCTTTTCTATAAAACCAGAAGGGAAAAGTATTAGTGTCTGTTCACTCGCACGCGACGTTGACTCATCTGATAAACTTTTGTAGTTTTCTAGTCTGTTTTCATTACATTTTTTATTTGGTCGAATCTTTTCACTACATTAGTCCCGGCTTTGACGTGATAATACAAGTCTCAGGGGCCCTTGACGCTACTATTTTGGTGCACCACTCTAGGATTTAATATTTTGGTAAAATCATACTTTAGTAAAATCAACATGATAAATATCCCTAAGTTTATTTTTTATAAGATATTTAGTCATATATTCATTCTTACCACTAATGATATAGATAAATTCACCACCATTTAATTTCTATAAACAAACAAAAAAAAAACCCCAAAAAAAAATTACTTTGATGCCCTATTGAGTGTTTTGAGTTTTTTTTTGGGAGATTCACTAATATACCCAATATAGGAGCCCAAATTATAAAAATACCCTATATTAAATGGACTTTAGAAACACACCCAAAGCCCATTTATAACATAACAAAAAGGCTTTTAACTTCTTTTAAATACAAAACTGCCATTGATTTCTCAAAACAAACCCAACCCCAAAACATATAAACAAGCCCAAAATACTCAATAGGACATCAAAGTAATTTAATAATCAAAATTAAATTTAATAGGGCCAATTGTCATTTTTTGGGTTTTTTTTGGGTTTGTTTATAGAAATTAAATGGTGTAGGGTTTATTTATAGTTTTAGTGCTAAGAATGGGTATTTGACTAAATATCTCTTTTTTTTTATGAGGTTTTGGTGTTGGGCTTGTTTTAAAACATATCGATGACAGTTTTGTAATTTATAAGAAGTTAAAAGACTTTTTGTTATGTTATAAATGGACTTTGAGTGCGTTTCTAGTGTCCATTTCAAATAGAATTTTTAAATAATTTGGGCCTCTATATTGGGTATAATAGTGAATCTCCCTTTTTATTTTATCTTGTAAGATAACATCAATTCCCCATGCTTGTCTCTGTTTAGGTATATATACCAATTTTCTTTTTGTTTTACCGTTCGGGACAGACCAATAATAAGCGCAACCAAAAACAGATGGTGATCCAAATAAAACAGAAGTTACAAAACAAAGATTCTTTAAGGAGTAGGGTATAGTCATCATCATATGATGAAACAATTCAATCGATAATCATCATCATCAATCCTTATCGCCATCATCATTATATCAGCACAAAAACAACGATATACTATGACATTGCTGATCGCATATAGTTGATAGATTTGGTTTTGTTGATGCCAACCATTTTTTATTGTGTGTATATTCAGACCAAAGCTTCTTTCCTTGGTACAGAAAATATTGAAAGTAAGTTTTCTTTCCTTGGTGTGATATATAAATTAGTCTTCCAAGTTGATCAGTACGTAATTTCAATTTCAAGGTGTGTTTTATTAGCTTGAGGTCTTGTTTGTGCTTCAGCCATGTTTAATGAAATTAATTCATAAACCTCGCTGAGTTTTATATATCTAGATATCATTATGTTCATAATAGTTTTAAATAGGTTATTATAAATAAAAAAAATTATTATGAGTTGGAGAGGAAGCAACAAACTGCCATTTTTCAGAATTTAAATTGCCATTTTTGCTTCAAACCCACGATTTATTTTTGAGCAAGTCAAATAGATCAAGTCAAATTTTTAAATATGTTAATGAAAGTAACTTTTTTCAGCTTTGTTCAGGTTCATCTCATTGTGCTGTGTTTGTGATATGAATAAACTACAATGTTCGATAAAAACAATAGACGAAAAGTATTTGTGTCTTTTCCCAGGGACATGACATTGACACATCTGATCAACTTTTGTACGTATTACCAGTCAGTTTAGAGCACTTTAGAGGTTGGCTCGAGCAAAAGGGGCCCTTAGCCCCAAATCGCAATTCTAGCGGGCAAGCAGTGGGTCTCTGCAAACCGGGCAAGCTCACATGCAAATTCAGCTTGTGCTGTTGCCAAGGTAGTTGTAAGTGTATGCATTTTGTGATTTTTTTTGGCTTTCCTTGTATTTTCCCAAGCTTTAGTTTAAATTAAGAATTACATCTCTAGGTGTTCTTATCTGGCTACATTACGATGGACAACAATGAGTTTGACAAAATTTAGGCCTAAAGGCCGTCAGCAGCAAAAGCCAATACAAATACAAATAACCACATAGGATTAATATAAATACGAAAGTATAGTAAGCATAGAGAGAGGCTAATCAAGATACAAAGATTACACCATTAACAACAAGCGCCCAAGATGTACATCTACTCATATCCACAGAAGGCCATGCAAATTCTGGTATAAAAGTCGTAGTCTCAAACTTCAAATTTTGTTCTAGTCTATTATGTGTCCTCTTTATAACGACTTAGTTGTTAGAGGTTGAATACATGGATAAAAATGTATTTAACTGTATTAATAATAACATTATAATTATAATTCATAATATTGTTTTTTTTTTTTTTGGGCTACTAATGAAGGCATTTGTAGTCATATATATTTAGAGCTTAATTTTGCCCCCAAAGAGAAAATTTTTAGGATCTACCACTGCCCACATATACTCATAGAGCTCACTTCTATTAGAGATGTGGTTTGCAAGATGGTCAATAAAGGTGGTACAAATAGAATTATTGAATTATTAAACCTATCCATTGACAAATGTTTTTGCTCTGTTTGTGTACAGATACGTATATATGTGGGAGATTCGAGCCTGAAATTGGCCATGCAGTTTGCAGTAGGATCTACAATGATGAGAACTAAGTTTTGGAAACTCATTAATTACTTCTTAACTCCCTTATAGGATTTTAACCACCTGCAAAACAGAAGTTAAGTATAGCAAAGGTAAATACGAGGTCATTCCTATGAAAGCTCAATTGAAAAGATGTGCTAAATACTTGACATGTAAATCAATGAATTATTATTTTTTGGATTCAATGCGAATATAATAAAACACAAATTGGAAAGAAAGTTTTGAAGGATTATTAATTGGTTGATAAAATCAGGAAGACAAGACACTAAGGCTAGGCGTCCACCACAAGCAATCCAATATAGCACTTATGTTCATTCATCCATTAAGAGGTAATTCCATATTGAAGATTGGTTACCTTACGTTTATTCTCCCTATGGCATTTAGGCTAGAATAATTCCTATAACATGCAATCTCCCTATGGCCTTTAGGCTAGATATAAACATGAAGATACAATGAGCACGAGTAACCAAATCAATCATGTAATTCTTATAGCATGACATTTACCCTAAGTAAACACACCTTTTAATTGCAAGAAGCATGCTCAAAATCAGTGTGGCATTCACTCAATTTTGCATCATATAACTTAGTCATATACCATAATGATGATCAAGCATCAAAGCACATAACCAGTATAACACTCGGCAATTAAAAGTTCAAACACAAAATCACATTAATGGATAAATAAACATACAGTACTATATCATCATTCTAGGGCTTTACCCCGCCCTAGATTAAAGTTTAGTTACACATGAACATAATTAAAAACACAGAAAATAATATCATAAGAGTGAAAGAAGAAACCCTGAAATACAACATCACACGCACACGCCTAGCGCTGTATTCTCCTCTTGATGAACGGGTCGTCAAGTTCCCTTTTTTTCTGACCTAGGCTTTTCTTTTTATATAATCCCTCTACCTTTTCCTAGTCCTAGTAAACCTCAAATAACTTAACTTGCAATGCATGAACAACCAACCAAACAAATTGTAACCAATAGAAAATATTATAAATAAAAAAAAGTACAAGTCAGCTTTCCTAATTCTTTGCGGCTTACAGCATATGTTTCGATTCTGGGCTTTTGGTGGACTTAATCTTCACCAAATTGAATGTGTAAGATGTCATTGAAAAGGTATTGACGTCAGCTACAATTTTTATAACAAATATTTTCCAAGAAAAATTCCATAAACTTGACTAAAATCGTCCTCAAGCCCAACAGCTCCAATCTGCCCGTATGGCACACGCCCTGACTTTAATAATTCGTTCTGAACAGTTGGCTGGCCCAATAACTCTCAAATTTTGACACAACGTCTCATGACCTCTTAGCTTTCATCTCCAAGTGGTTTCATCCAAATCTCCTAGTAAAAAGTAATTTCTCCATTTTTGGCATTTTAGAGTTCCTGAAAACACAAAAGCTGGAATATGTGAAGATCTCTATAGAACAATCAACTTTTACATACAACATCTAAATGAAAAGAGTAAATTTATATGATATATAAATGACTTATCACTCCCCGAATTATTATCCTTGTAAGCTTTGACGTGACATGATCCTACAAGTCTTACGACCGACCTTGACTGCTAAGTATACCAACTACCAATATCGTGATTCCTATACCTAATACGAATAAGTTAGTACTGTAGTACATTCATTGGTCTATAAATAACTTCATTTCAATTCGATTCCATGAATTCTAGCCAGCTAGGGACACATATATATGCTTCAATGATGAGAGGCACGTTGATAATCCTCATGTTTGCTGTGGGAACCTGGATCAGTTCTGCTCATGCAAGGGCTTTGATAGGTAAATTGTCATATATGATTTGACACCAAAAAAAACATGCATTATTCAGCTTCGGAGCTCTTACAAAGCCATTTTTATGATGTTTTAATAACAGCTTCCAAATAATATTCGTTGATAGCTGTTTCTGCACTGTACAGATATATATGTACTATGTATGTTATATAATTCTTCTATTTTATTAACATTAACATCTAGTCTTTCATTTGTCCAATTAAAAAAAAAACAAAAAGGGTTCATAGGAGAAAATGCACCTAGATTTTGCAAGTTCAACAATTTACCTCATGTATCGAAGAAAATGCAGGTAATTTATTGAATCCTAGTCATTGGGTTTTAATCAAGAAAAAATAATGGGATGAGCTGTAGGTAAGAAAAAACTAGTTTGAAGGGGAAAAGTCAAATTTACTATAAAAAAAACATCTGGTCTTTCATTTAGCTGTGCTCGCTAGTTGTCCACATTTTAAGGGTCAACCAAAAAATCAATTTTCTAAAATAATTCATGCTGTCATCATATGATGAAACAATTTAATCGATAATCATCATCATCATCAATCCTTATCCCCATCATCATTATATCAACAGAAAAACAAGAGTATACTATGACATTGCTGATCACATATAGTTGATAGATTTGTTTTTGTTGATGCCAACCATTTTTTCTTGTGTATATTCAGACCAAAGCTCTTCCAAGCATCCCATGTCTTCTTTCCTTGGTACAGAAAATATTGGAAGTAAGTTTTTCGTGACCAAGACAGGTGTGAATGGAAATTATACCCGAAGGTCCAAATCCCCGCCCCCTCCGCCCAAAGCAGCACCAACACCAAAGCAAACACCAACGATCACCGATATACTCGAGAAATCTCCTCCAAGCAGTCGATACATATCTTCAGCCTGAGGGAGATAGTGGACGATGGAATAATGGAGTCAGTGTAAATGTGTGATGTAAATTAGTCTTCCAAGTTGATCAGTACGTAATTTCAATTTTAAGGTGTACGTGTGTTTAATTAGCTTGAGCTCTTGTTTGTGCTTCAGTCATATTTAATAAAGTTAATTCATAAACCTCGCTGAGTTTAATTCATGGCGCATGTATATATCCAGATGTTACTATGTTCATACCAGTTTTAAGTAGGTTATACAAAAATACCGAGTTGGAGAGGAAAACAAACTGCCATTTTTGCTTCAAACCCACGATTTATTTTTGAGCAAGTGAAATAGATCAAGTCAAATTTTTAAATATGTTAATGAAATTAACTTGGGGGATGGGTCAAATTTGTTCAGCTTCATCTCATTGTGCTGTGTTTGTGATATGCATAAACTACTCTGTTCTATAAAAACAGAAGACAAAACGTATTAGTGTCTTTTCACTGGGACATGACATTGATACATCTGATAAACTTTTGTAGCATTTCTAGTCTTACCGTGGCTGACCCTGGCATCCCCGTGCCAGGGAAGTTGTTCTCCTCTTTTCAATACACTAGCATTGACGTGTGATAAGATCCTACAAGTCTTAGGAACACCCTTGACTGCTAAGTTTACCTACTTCAGTTATAGTGTACTATATATTTATGGAAAATGCTAGGCTTACCACATTTTTATACCACATTGTTTACCACCTCTCTAATAGAGGTGAGCCCCATTGTATTTGTGGGCTCTACCTCTATTAGAGAGGTGGTAGACAATGTGGTACAAAAATGTGGTAAGCCTAGCATTACCCTATATTTACATTGGTCTATATAGCCCAATAATTTTAATGAATTCTAGGTAGCCTCTGTTCTATAAAAACAGAAGACAAAACGTATTAGTGTCTTTTCACTGGGACATGACATTGATACATCTGATAAACTTTTGTAGCATTTCTAGTCTTACCCTGGCTGACCCTGGCATCCCCGTGCCAGGGAAGTTGTTCTCCTCTTTTCAGTACACTAGCATTGACGTGTGATAAGATCCTACAAGTCTTAGGAACACCCTTGACTGCTAAGTTTACCTACTTCAGTTATAGTGTACTATATATTTATGGAAAATGCTAGGCTTACCACATTTTTATACCACATTGTTTACCACCTCTCTAATAGAGGTGAGCCCCATTGTATTTGTGGGCTCTACCTCTATTAGAGAGGTGGTAGACAATGTGGTACAAAAATGTGGTAAGCCTAGCATTACCCTATATTTACATTGGTCTATATAGCCCAATAATTTTAATGAATTCTAGGTAGCTAGGGAAACATGAATGCTTCAATGATGAGATTCCTTTGATAGGTAAATTATCATATATCCTTTGATACCAAAAAACATACAACTATATGTTAAAATGTATATGCTGTAACCATGCATGATTCAGGTCGAGAGCTCTCATAAAGTCATTTTTTCATGCTCTAATAACAGCTTCCAAAATGACGAATTTCTTATTATTAAGGGCATTGCTATTTGTATTATCTTTATTGATCATCTTACTGACCATCTCTCTAATACATGTGGGTCCCACATACACTGGCAGATCTAGCAAGTTTTGAGTTGTATTCTAGCTAGTATTCTTTTAGCTTTCCTTGCCAACTTTGTAATAGGACATGTAATGTATTTCCCAAGCTCAATGTTATTAGACTAGGTTAAATTATTATCTCCTGTGCCTTTGACATCAATGGCTCATCATAATCAAGGGATGCCAACAGTAAATTCTACATTACATTCATTAGATTGCATTAGGTTATGACTAGTCATCTTGCATGTGTTTAACTAGTCATCTTTTGTGCTTAATGAGTTCTGCCAGCTCATTTCATTTTCCAGCTGGGTCCTAACAAAATTTTGTCTTATTCTCTGATATTCTTATGTTGCCACCTGTCTGTTTCAGACCTAGGAATTTTGGGTAAATGGTCTCTTCATTCCTTTTGGAGCCGTCACTTCAGGAAAGGTGTTTTTGAGAGGGTGTGAGTTTCTCCTCCTTTGCTCTCCTTTCCTTTGGAGTGATTTCTCCATCTTTTCATAAATGAGTTTTTCAAATTGATTTTGAAAACTGCTTTGAAAGATGAAATCTGCATCTAGCTAAATCAAATACATTCTCATATAGATCTAGGTCAGATTCTAGATTGATTTCTTCAAAAGTATGGTTTCTTGAAGAAATTGACCATTTCATTTTGAATCCAAATTTCATGTTCTTGTTTGGAGTTGAGCTGTGTGAGCTGGTGCCATGGGATGAACAAGCTGAGGAGGAAGCTGTCATTGCCATGAAGAACTAGCTACAAGCTTTGCTAAGTTTGGAAAAGAAGTTTGCATGGAGGAGGTATAGCTCATTTTCTAAATAGATCTAGGTTTCCTTGAGCTTGCTTGTGATTTCTTTGTAAGAATCTTCTTTGCTTAGTGGATTGCCTGATCAGATGATGACTCCCAATTTTTCCCAATGGTGGGTTTCTGGATTAACAATTTTCTGGGTTTGTTGTTCATGTTTTTCTGGTGTTGTGTTCTTCCTGTTGACTAGTCATCATCTGAATATTGCTATATATTTGGTCTTGATGTATTCACACACACTACTCACCTTAGTTGTTGCTAGCACAAGGGATGCCTAGATTGATGGGTCTTTCTGAGTACTTAGGTTGTCACTAATGATCTTCTAGGCTTGCAGTATTGGTTGTTTCATCTGTGTGTGTGATTGTTTCTAGTTTATGACTAATAGTTAACTAGTTATATTGATCTCAGGTTAAGTTAAGATTTGTGTAGTTGGTAAGTGTTTAAAATAGCCTTTAATTTACCCCTCTTCACCTAAGTACCAATTTCAGCAAGGGGCCAATGAAGGTTATTGCCCTCACTGCCTTTTCTCCACCATGAACTTGCTTAGTAATTTTATGTTGATTTGTTTGAGTGTGGAGGCAACATGTTTGATAAAATACCTCACATAAGGGGCTGATGTAGATATAAAGGGGCAAGCATTTGTAGTCATATATATTTAGAGCTTAATTTTGCCTCCAAAGAGAAAATTTTCTGGATCCACCACTGCCCACATATACTCGTGGAGCTCACCTCTATTAGAGAGGTTGCAAGGTAGTCAATAAAGGTGGTACAAATAGAATTAGGGATTTGATTCACATTAGATGAAAATTTCCTTCCATTTGGGGATTATTTGATTTGGGGATTCTTGCCTTAATTAGGGATTTGATTCACATTAAATACCTAGTTGATTTAAATCTTCTAAAATCAAAAAAATAATTCCTTTCCCAACAAGGATTATTTTTCTCCAAACCCTAACCCTACGAGACTCTATAAATACGAGGCTATGCAAGGCATGAGGTAAGCCATTCTAAGCTCACAAAAACTCTACAAAAATTCCCTCATAGCTTCCTCTCTCTCTCTCTCTCTCTTTCTCTCCCTTACACAAGGCTCCGGCCACCACACACTGCTCGGGCCACCCGGTTCTCCATACAAAAATCTCCGTACCCTTTTAGCTATTGTTTCTTTATGATTCAATTGAACTAATTTAGGCATTGGAGGGCCTTTGGCTAACACCCCCAGGGTGTGGTCCTTTTATTCCAATCTATTTTGCAGGGATAAAAAGACAACGAAAAAGAAAGGGGAATCAATCGATCGAATATTCTTGTGGGACGAAAAGCGCTCCCACGAATATCTTTACATGCCTTAGCGGGCCAAGCCAAGAATACTACTTTCGCCTAACGTCCTGTGTCGTCATGGTTGGCAATAGGCGAGTGAAAAATAAAATCTTTATATGCATGAAATTTTTTAATTAAAAATACTATTGTGAAAAAGATGAATTTATAGGTCTTAGATTATGCATGGAAGTGTGTAAAAAATGAAGGGAAGAAAAATGACTTATCCGATTCCTTTGTTCTTGACGCACACTTTGATGTAAATAAAATCCTAGCCATTGGACATCAAATATGAAGAGAAACAAGATCTCACTTTGTGTTTTTACTAAAACGTACCTAACTTGAATTCTAAGAAAC